GGCTAATTTTTTTGTATTTTTTTAGTAGAGACGGGGGTTTCACCTTGTTGGCCGGGCTGGTCTCGAACTCGTGACCTCATGATCTGCCCGCGTCAGCCTCCCAATGTGCTGGGATTGCAGGCGTGAGCCACCGCACCCGGCCAACATGAACTTTACCTTTAATGGTGAAGTTTTCAGTCTGAAATTGCACTGCGAGGAGACTTCCATTTTGGCATGGCGGCTTTTTCAGAATCCTACTTTCTTGCAGTTTCTCAAAGTACGCTAGGATCTGATCATCTGCATCTCCATAGTGAGCTTCCCAGCACCTCCTTGGCTTTGGGCACTGCTGCTGGTTTCGGGCTGTCTCTTCTCTCCGACCGGTGCTAAGGGATGTCTTAGGGTAACACACACACCGCAACTCCAGACTCCACGTGAGCCCACTCAGCCTCTTACTTGCTTTCATCGCTTTCGGGTTTGCATTTTGGGCTTGCTTTTTTTCAGCCACCAAACCTCTATTCCGAGTTGAAAATATAATTTAAAAATTATTACGCTTTGAAATGTTTTGTTAAGAAGCCGATAGAAAGGTGAAAGGGCCAGTGCCAACCACAGTCCTGAAAAACACTGTAAACCAGCAGTCCCCAACCTTTTTGGCACCAGGGACTGGTTTCTTGGAAGACAATTTTTCCATGGCTGGAGGATGGGTAAGGATGGTTTTGGGATGAAACTGTTCTACCTCAGATCATCAGGCATTGGATTCTCATAAGGAGCACACAACCTACTTCCCTCAAATGTGCAGTTCACAGTAGGGTTTGCGCTCCTATGAGAATCTAATGCCACCACTGATCTGACAGGAGGTGGGGCTCAGGTGGTCATGCTTGCTAACCTTTTGCTGTGCACCTCAGTTCCTAACAGGCTGTGGACTGGTACCAGTCCGCGGTCCAGGGCTTGGGGACCCCTGCTATAAACCAAAGAGTGTCTGAGACGGGTCTCAATCTATTTAGAGGTTCATTTTTCCAAGGTTGAGGATGCCCTTGGGGAGGAAGAGACACAAGTCACAGTAGGATCTGTGGCCTGTGCTTTTTCCAAGGAGAATTTTGAGGACTTCAATATTTAAAGGGGAAAGGGTGGCAGGAGGGGCAGAGGGAAAGAAAAAAAAGGGAGGGAGGGTATGTCAGGAGGTGAGTGGTTACATTCTTGTAAGGTGAGTGAGTCCTACCTTCTTGCAAGATTTGGATTAGTGCTCACTGAATCCACATGTTACATGTGAAAGGAGAGGTCGAAGAACAATTATTCATTTGTCTGGCTTTCAGCAAATCTGCATTTTACATAAGATAAAAGCAAGCATACAGGAGAAGAAGGAGGCAATCACGCATTTGTCTTGGAGTGGGCAGAGGGATGATTTCTAGTTCTGTCTTTGTCCAGTACCTGTTTTAAGATAAGCTATTAATTTACATCATCATGTGGGCATGGTGGCTCAAGCCTGCAATCCCAGCACTTTGGGAAGCCGAGGTGGGCAGATCACTTGAGGTCAGGCATTCGAGACCAGCCTGGCCAA